TGGAGCCCTCAATTATCTCCTCCCTGCTACTCCCAAGAAATTAGATCTTGCTTTTTGTTTTCTTACCCTTCTCCCTGTCCTCAGAAACCTTCCAGCTCCGGGCTTGGGCTTCGATGGAGCTTTTCAGGAGCCGGATTGGACTTTTTTACAAATTTATTCCCTAAATCCAGCCACGGATCCCAAAGCCTTTGAGAGCTTGGCTTGGTGGTGCTGGTGTTGTTATCGCTGCACTGAGGGAGAGGCTGAGGTGTGGAGGGGTTATTATTTCATTTTCAGGGCTGTTTCCACTCGGTTCTGTGGGAATAATGGATGCACAGCACGTTTAGGGAATATATTTGGGAGACAGTGTCAAAGGCTTTGCTGAAGTCCAGCACTGGGTCAGTGTCTGGATTTTTCCACGTTTTTTTCCACGTTTTTATTGAAACTGATAATAAAAAAAAAAGAAGAGGAAGAGGGGAGGGTGAGGAAAGAAGGGATGAAGGCTGGATTTGGGGATGGAATGGGGAGGTTGTGACGAAGCCGGGGCTGTCCCACTCCATCCCACTCTGGAATAAACAGGAATTCCTGCACGGACACAACCCCTGGGTGATGCTGGTGGGCCCCTGATCCACATTGTCCCACTGCTGTGGGCTCTTCTTCTCCTGGTGCTCCAGATTTCCAGGCCTTGGAGGTGCTTTTTATTCCCCCCTGGAAGCTGCACCCACATGGGATCTGTTTTACTGGTAATAAATAAATAAATAAATAAATAAATAAATAAATAAATAAATGAACAGTAAAGATTGCGAAATTTAATTTAAACCAAATATTTATTCCCCATAATTATTGGTGACTCATCCCCTAACCCTGTTCTTTTCCCAAAATTCTTTAACACTCCCCAAATTCCAGCATTTCAGGTGAATCTTGTCATTAAAGATGAGGAGTAACCAATTCCCTACACCAGGAAAAAAGGGAGTCCCTCCCTCCTGGAGTGTGAATAATTTTATATTTTAATAGAAATATTCCATATTTTAATATGAATATTCCATATTTTAATATAAATATTCCACATTTTAATATAAATAATCCATATTTTAATATAAATATTCCATATTTTAATATAAATATTCCATATTTTAATATAAATATTCCCATTTTAATATAAATATTTCCTATTTTAATATAAATGACTAGGTTTCATTTCTCCATGTTTTTTAATCCACCCCCAAGTTCAAGCAGGAGTCGGACACAGAGATTTTTTTTTCTTGGAATTCTAAATTTTTTGGAGATTTCAGGAGGTTTCCCTTCAGAAAAGGAAATTTCTCCCCTCAAATCACTCGAATTGTATTTTCAGCTGATGGAAACCCCAAAAAAATCTCGATTAAAGGGATGGGGGGGGTTGGGGTTGTTTGGTTTTCAATCATTAATTCCACGCAGCAATATCTTAATAATTCCTTCCTAATTCCATTTGGGAATTTTCTTTTTCTCCTCAGTCCCTCTGTGTTAAAAAAGTAGATTTTTGTTAGAGAACAAAGGCAGATTTGAGGCACAAACAGCTGATTTTGGACACTTTGGGGGCCTTTCCGTGCTATAAAAGGCAGGCAGTGACATCTAGTGACGGAATTTTAGAGGGCAAGGCAACAGGAAAATTTTATTTTATTCTATTTATTCTATTATTTTATTCTTTTTCTTTTATTCTATTTCTTTTATTCTATTTATTCTCTTATTTTATTCTGTTTATTTCTCTTATTTATTCTATTTTTTAAATTTATTCTATTTATTTCCTCAATTTATTTTATTTCTTCATTTTATTTATTCCATTTATTTTAGTCAATTTATTTATTCAATTTCATTCATTTTTATTCTATTTATTCTATTATTTTATTCTATTTCTTTTCTTTTATTCCATTTTTTAAATTTATTCTATTTATTTTATTTCTTCATTTAATTTATTCATTCTATTTATTCCATTTATTTTAGTCGATTTATTTTACTTATTCCATTTATTTTACTCAATTTATTTTATTTTATTCTATTTATTCCATTTCTTTTATTTTACTCTATTTTTTAATTTCCACAATTTGTTTTATTTATTAATTCCATTTATTCCATTTATTTTAGTCAATTTATTTTACTTATTCCATTTATTTTACTCAATTTCTTTTATTTTATTCTATTTACTTTATTATTTTATTTTATTTCTTTTATTCTATTTATTCTATTTCTTTTATTCTATTTTTTAACTTATTCTATTTATTTTATTTCTTCCATTTATTTTATTTATTCATTCTATTCATTCCATTAATTTTACTCAATTTCTTTTATTTCTTCCATTTATTTTACTCAATTTATTTAATTTTATTCTATTATTTTATTTTATTCTATTCATTCTATTTCTTTTATTTTACTCTATTTTTTAAATTTATTCTATTTCTTTTATTTCTTCAATTTATTTTATTTATTCATTATTCATTCCATTCATTATGTGCCAGCAACAATAATTTATTGAAATTAATAACTAATAACTTATTGAAATTAATTCCATAGATCGATAATTAACGATTAATTTATTGAAAACAATAATTTATTTGAATTAATAATCTTACTTGAATAATAATTTATTGGAAAAGTTTAACCAGTACCAAATATATTATATTATTATATATTATATATATATAGTATATACATATAATATATACACATATATTTACACACACATATATATTCAGCACACATATATATATATATATATATAAAAATCTTTATTTTTTTTTCTTTCATTTGTGGAACTTTTGGGGATTGAAATCCAAGTGCTGCATCTCCAATAAGAGGATTTTTAGTAGGAAAAGTTCAACCAGGACCAAATAGATAGATAGATAGATAGACAGACATATTTATATATATATAAAATCTTTATTTTTTTTTCTTTCATTTGTGGAATTTTTGGGATTGAAATCCAAGGGCTGCATCTGCAAGAAAAGGATGTTTAGCAAGAAAAGTTACACCAGTACCAAATATAATCTTTATTTTTTTTTTTCTTTCATTTGTGGAATTTTTGGGGATTGAAATCCAAGTGCTGCATCTCCAACAAGAGGATTTTTAGTAGGAAAAGTTCAACCAGGACCAAGAGGTGAGAATCTCTCAAGCTGTTACAGTACCATCTGAAGTTTCAAATGTCATTTAAGTAGCTTATTTTTCCTGTACAGAACACATTTGGCAGGAATTATAAATAAATAACTCACATTACAGGCATTTAAGCACATATATACAGACAATACTGTGGCAAACAGACACTTAAAAATAGAAATAAAAGTTAAAATCCAGGGAAATTTCCTCTAATCTCGTTAAATTCCTGGTTTGGAAGAGGATCCCTTGGGAAAAGCACATTGCCTGGCAGTACCTAAGCATGCATTAGGAGGGCCACATGCTAAAATAAATTAAATTTTTCCTTAATTTCACTTTGTTTTTTGGAGGAAGTCAAAGATTCCCTCGAATTTTCACTTCTCTTAATCCTCAATAATTTGATCAAAATGAGAATAAAAAGAAAAAAAAACAAAAAAAAACCCCAATACTTGAGTCCTTTGGTATGAATTGCTAATTTTGTGGTGAAAATAAAGATATTGGCACCCTTTTTGTTTGGTTGGTTGGTTTTTTCTTTGTGTTTTGTCTCTTCCTGCAGAACAGAAACGGTGTGAAAGTGCAGAGTGCAACAAACAGTAAAATTGGTCCTTGAGGGTGTCCCTCAGGAAAAAAAAAAAAAAAAGGACACTTCAAAGAGAAAGAAATGTAACATTTTTACACAGAAAAGCAACAAAACTCTGCTGCAGCTGACAGAGCTCACTGGGAGTTGGAAAAAAATCCCTGTGGGTGTTATATATTATATATATATATTATATATGTTTGAATTCCAGGCTCAACTAAAGGTCTGGAGAGGAATGATGTGGTGGAATTGTTTGTCTGCCAGCACTGACTGGTAAAATCTGCAGTTGATGCTGGGCCAGGCCCAAGAATTATTTCAGTGCAGCCACAGCTCAGGGCCACAATCACATTGATGGATGTGGCACCTGAGCAGTTAATTCAGACCTCCTGTACAATTATTTTGAGTTCCTTCACAAGGTGCTTGTTGGAGAGGAGGAGGGAATTCACCCAGGCCAGCTTTGGGCATCTAAATGTGACTTTTTACACTGAAAAGAGAGAGAAGGTTCTCAAACAGGGATTTGCAGAGTGGAGGAACCTATTTCTCTTGAGTACATAGTTTATTTCTTTTTGGACTTCCACTGCTAATCTAGATGAGAACTAATCCAGAGCAATATAAAATCTGAATTCTACAATGCCTTGCAGCAGTGTGAGATATTTACTGCTGGAAGGGAAATGTTTCCTCACACACAGTGTGAGAACCAACCCCTGAAGGCTTTGCAGAACTGTCTGCCCCTCAAAAAAAAGAGAATATATTCTCTACCTGCCCAATACCAAACTCACCCACCTTTCTAAAAGCTCTGGAGCTGCCAGATTTAATTTAGAATAATTTATGTACATGTTGACTTTAAAAACAGCAAAAAGCTTAGAGACAAGTTACACAGAAGGTCTAAGAACTCCATTCCTTGCCAGGAACACTCTCCCTTCCCCCAGCACAGGTATCCCAGGTGGGACACCCAAACTGGTCCCTTTTCCTGCCCGTGCCAACAACCAGCCCTGTTCCCTCTGCAACAGCAGCTGACTTGCAGCTCTTTTACTCTTCCCAAGCTGACACTTCTTCCTGACCAGGAAACAGCAGCAGGCTCTGTTTTCACAACCTTACAACAGCACAAAGGCCTGTCGTGATCTTTAGCAAATAAATCCTGGGAAAAATCTCCCAGCAACTTTTCTCTCCTATCCATATTTCGCCTTCAATCCTGTCACAGGAGCCTTTCCATGCTTTCTGCCACCTATTCCTGTGTTTTCTTTTAAACACCTCTCCCTCCTGCCACGTCAGCAGCTCTGGGGGAGTTTCAGGGTTTCCTTGACATAACGAGCCGTGCAAAATCTTTTTTTTTTTTTTTTTTTTAAGAGTAATTTGTAACCCCTGGTTACTGGGATTCTCCCCAGGTAACAGTAACCAAGCTGCGAGTCCACCAGCACCCTTCCTTCCCTCAGGCTCTTCACGGGATGCCATCCTTCCTCTGGCAGCACTGCGAGGGGGGCACCCCCCAGTCGTACATGTAGGAAAGCCGGAGCTTAACCTCCTCCTTACAGAGCTTCCCTTCCTTAGCCAGGGTCTGGTGCTTCTCCAGCATGTCCTCGATGCTCTGCTTGTGAGTCACTATGTACTTATTGTTGCAGCCCCGCGACTTGTACTCGGTGTCGAAGCGGGGGTCGTGCACCCTCTTCACGTCGATGGGCGCCAGCCAGACCCCCAGGGACACGTCCTCGCTCTGCCACATGTTCAGGTAGTCGCTGCTGAGCCGCAGGTAGCGCACCAGGTCGGCGGAGATGACATACCCGCCGCCCAGCGCGTAGGGCAGGTAATAGTCACACAGCACCCAGGCGCTCTCCTTCCACTTCCCCCCCGACTTCACCCGGCCCCGGCCCGAGAAGAAGCCCCAGTAGAGCCGCCGCGGCTCCTTGGCTTTCAGCTCCTCCACCAGCACGTCCAGGCGCACGAAGGTGTCGTCGTCAGCCTTGAGGGCGAACTGGAAGTCCAGGTGCAGGTCGAGCCACACGTAGGTGGCCAGCACCTTGGCCGTCAGGTTCTCGTAGGAGTCGCGCAGCTCCGGCAGTAGCAGCAGGTCGCGGTGCCGGCTCTGCTCCAGCTCCAGGCTCCGCAGCTCCTCCTGCCCGAGCCCGGCCGTGCCCACCACGAAGCGGCTCCACACGCGGCCGCGCTGGGAGCGCCCTCCCGCCGCCATCCAGGTGCTGCGGATGATGCTGCGGCGCCGCTCGCTGTACTTGGGCCGCTCATACACCACAACGGCCACCAGGGCGCTGGCCCTCGGCGCGGGGGCGGCGGTGGGGGCGCCCCGCGGGCCGCGGCTGGCTGTGGGGCAAGGGCGGGCGGGGGCCGGCGGGCAGCGGGCGCAGCCGCTCGGAGGTGCACTGGCGAGGTAGAGCAGCACGGCGGCGCACAGGGATCAGCCCGCCGAGCCCCCACGCGCGTGCGGTGCCGGCCCAGCCGCCGCAGCGCCTTCATGCCGGCGGCCCCTCAGGAGCGCGGGCCACGCCACTGGGCGTTTAGGCGGGAACGGGGGGTGTGTATGCCGGAGGGGGCCGTACGGCCGCCGCGAGGGGACAAGATTCCTCGCGGGATGCTCACCGCGCTGCGCCCCGCACAGGGGGATTCATGGCTGCTCCTCGCTTTCCGCCCTTTCCCACCAACTGAGCCTTAGGAGAGGTTTCTTTCAAGAGCCGCTTTTAGGCGGTGCCGCCCCCTCTGAGGGGGAGGTGGCTCCTGCCCTCACCCAACAGGGCGGCCGCCCTCATCCAACATGGCCACCGTGGCCTCGCGCTGCGCGGTGACGTCGTTCCGCCATCTTCCTTCCTCCTCCTCTTCCTCCCCCTCCTCCTCTTCCCGCAGAGCGCCCGGGGGTCCGTGAGGGGCCGCGAAAGAAGGGGCTGAGGGGCGGCCGGACCCCGCCCGGAGCCTCACCCGCGCATCTCACGGCGCTCGGAGCGCCGCGTCCTCCTCCCTCCAGACGCGCATCCCCCGTGAGTGCGGGCGGCCCCTCCCGCAGCCCCGCGGCATTGGGGCGTGTGGGGAGGTTTGAGCTGGGGGGGGGGTTCCGGCTCTCCCGCGGTCGCGCTGTTGGATTTGGGGCGTTTTCCCTGGATTGTCCCACATATCGCAGGATATTCTGTGATTTCTGTGGTTCTGTGACAGGTCCGCCGCGGGGTTGCGCTTCCTGCCGCTGTTTCCTGCGTGTTTCCAGCTCCGCTTTCTCTTGGTATCAAATCGCTTTTCCCTCACTCATCCCTCTCCAAAAAGACCTTTAATCCCTTTCTAAACAGCTGTCGTGTTGGGATCTCTGGGATATTGCTGTGCTGCCGTGGCTATTTCTTGAAGGGTGTTCCCTTCCAAAGTCCTCTGCCGGCTGAAAACCAGCACCTTAATTCCATTTATTTGTTACTTAAAGGGCTCTTTTTTACTCTCTCACAGCAAATACTTGTGTATTTCTGTGTAGGTCCTTCCTAATTTATACTTCCGTGTAGTTTTTACTACACATAGTATACATATTATACATATTATATATATTTATTTAATGTATATATATTACATATATTTATATAGTGTACATGTATTATGATGTAGTATATTCATGCCTCTGTGTAGTTTTTTTATACTTATATATTTATATTCTGTGTAGTTTTTTATACTTATATCTTTGTATTCTGTGTAGTTTTTTATACTCATATATTTATATTCTGTGTAATTTTTTTATAGTCATATATTTATGTTCTGTGTAACTTTTTATAGTCATATATTTATGTTCTGTGTAACTTTTTATAGTCATATATTTATGTTCTGTGTAGTTTTTTATACTTGTATACCTGTGTGTAGTTTTTTATACTTTTTATACTTTTATATATTTATAGTTGTGTGTAGGTTCTTCTGAATTTTAGTTGTTTATTATTTCTTATTATTCGTGTCCTCACGTTCCAGAGTTTAACTGATATGTTTTCTCCTTTTTGTTTTTAGATCATTTAACCTGCAGTAATTTCATCAGCCAGTATTTTGAATTAAAGAAAAGGACAAAATGATGTCGAGACAAGCCTTCCTGTGCAGTTTGGGCTCTCTGTATTTGTCCCTCCTGTTCATCTTCCTCCTCATGGATGTTTATGCCAGGCCTGCAAATAATTCTGTGCTCAAGGAGAAAGCGGCTGAGGGGAAGGATGAGAACGAGATCCTGCCCCCAGACCACCTGAACGGGGTCAAAATGGAGATGGACGGGCACCTGAACAAAGAATTCCACCAGGAGGTTTTCCTGGGAAAAGAGATGGAGGAGTTTGAGGAGGATTCAGAGCCCAGGAGAAACAGGAAGAAGCTGATGGTCATTTTTTCAAAGTAAGTCGGGTGGTGCCAAGAGCAGGGAAAGAGTGAAAATTGGAGGGGTTTCCTGTAATATTGAAAAATTACAATGATGAAGGGGGGAAAACCTCACCCTTTAAGTGCTGTGTTTGTGTTTTGAAGGGGTTAAAGACCCAGGAATTCAGCAATCCAAATGAAATGAAGTGTTAACAAAGGCAGTTCCTCACAATTCAGAAAAAGAGAGGGTGAAAAGATTAAAGTTTTCTTTTAGAGCTTTTTAAAAAAGTTCATCTATTTCTTTACTTGGTATAAAAATATTTACTTTAAGACCTTTCCTAAAGCACTTTTTGGTCTGGGTCAGATGTTTGGAGGTCAGTTATTGTGCTGGAGATCAAACCCAGGGTGTGTTTTTAGACACAAGGTGGCACAATTGGCTTTATTTGCATTTTTGAATGAAGGATTAATTTCCTTAGAGCAGCTCAAGTTACACTGGTGCCCTTAATGCTGCTGATTCCACGAGTTTTATTTTAATTTAGGGTGGAATCCTTTATTATGTCTGTTATTCACTCACTTCACTGGTAGGATATTTAAAAATATTAAGATTTCTTTGCTGTTTTACATTTATTGGAAACATTGTTAGTAATTTGGGAAGGACAGTTTACTAACTCTTTAATTTCTGCCTGTTTGTTATGAAAGAGGTTTCTTAGGAAGCTTAAATTAATTGGATTTAAGATCAATTCCAGTCAGATCCTTAAAATTACATTCCCTCAGATGATCAGCTTAAAAATGTAGGGAAGCATTTTGGGGGCTCTGATTGCTTTCTAAACATCCTCCTAAAGGCTAAAAGAGAAATCCTGGGAAACTTGTGTGAAAATCCAAAATCCTGGGCTTCCAGATCTTCTGGAATTGCTGTTGGAAGGCACAAAGACAATGAGATTCCTCAGTGGTTAAATAGGGTAAAATAGTCAATTCAAAGCATAAATTATTGTCTAATAGGAGTAGTGAAAATAAAGTTGGGACATGAAAGAATTGCTCCCTAACCTGTGATTTTTCCAGGCAAGTTCCACGTGACTGAAGCAGTTGGTAATTGTGTTTTGCTTCCTGGTGTCCTCCCTGAAATCATCCTTTGGATGAAACACAAACCAGCTCTGAAGTGATTTATGGGCTTGAAAAAAAAAAAAATTGGCATTTTTGGGGCTCTGGGTGAGACCTGGAAGTGGGTTCTTGATAATGGACCTTCTGGAAGGTGGCCACAAAAATCTGATTTTTTTTCATGGCTTGTGGTTGAGAAACTGGGCTACAAGTGGCTTATTTTTATTTTATCCATATGTAATATAACCCTCACTGTAGGAAAAAGTCAGTTATCCTACAAAGTGCCCACTTGTTTCTTACTCAGAGGTGCCACCTGTGTGCTTTCAGGACCTAAATGAGCAATAAATGGGATGTTTGTTCCCTCCCTCTGCAGTTATGGGGTGATTTAGGTGGAAAGTACAGCTTGGAAGTAGAAAGTTTGATAGCTTTGATCTAAGGAAACCAAATGTTAAACGTTGAGGGGGGGGAAATGCTCTGGTTTAGTCTCATTTTTATTGTACCTGGTGGGTGCAAAATCACCATCTTCTTGCTCTTGTCACCAACACTGATATTTATATATTTAAATATAGCCCTGACATGATATTTAAACCCCTCTCATAACAGTTTTATTGTGTTTTAGAAGACTGGGCTTGTTCTTTGGCTCAAGCTTTTAACATTTAGTTGACATTTAAAGGCAAATCACTTGGGTTTCAGTGATGACACTTCAGTGATAGAGAGATAACAAAACAAGAGTCGAGCTGGGGCTTTTTATTATGTTTGGGGTTTGTTTTTTTCAATTGAACCAGAGTGGTTTTGGGGTGCCTTAAATAGATCCTTGCCTCTCAAATGTTAGTGGTGGCTTTTCAGTTGTAACTGTTTTGAATAAATATTTAAAGGTGTGCTCAAAAAAAAAAAACCCTCCAAAGTGGCAAATTAGTGACTTTGTGTTTGCTCTTCATCCATAGTTTTTATATTCTGAATGAAATCAGCATTAATGGAATTGGAAAGCAGTTATTGGTGGCACATTGAGGAAAACAGGATTGTCAGGTTGGATTTTTCCTGGTTAATTTTAGTCAGAAAAAAAGCACATCCTTGGACAAAGCAGAGCCAGACAACTTGGAAACCTCGTGGAGAACAAGTGTTAAATGTGTTCAGAATTAAAAACTCTCAGCTGTAACATGTTCCCAGAGCTGGAGGTGTAACAGAGGAAACTTGCTTTAGTAGGGTTAATTCCACTTAAACTATTTTATAGTTTGTAGTATTTTTAAAGGACAAGTTTATTCATGTTTATTCACGTTTATTCAAGTTTATTCATGTATTTTCATTGTTTGGGGTGAACACAGAGTTGATCTGGGCAGATACAGGGAGGCAGCTCAGCAATAAACCTCAGAGAGCTTGGAATATTAAAGGGAAAAAGGGCTTGGAAAGACAAATGGAGAGGGAATTCTTGGCTGAGAGAACTTTGGAGAAGTGTTTGCAATTAGTGAAAGCCTGAAGCTGCTGGCAGCTGACAGCTCTGCACCAAAGGAAATGAGCCAATATTCCATTTGTGATGAGCTGTGGTTTCCTCCCTGTGAAAAATTGCCTCAGAAACATAAATGGGAGTTGACTTGAGCAGAATGTGAGTTAACTTGACCAAAACATGAGTTAATTTACAGGGAAGTGAAGGGTGGCTGAATGGGTTTCACTGAGGGGTAACCAAATGTTGCAGTTCCTTTAATTAGGCAATAAATTGCTCACTTCCTGCTTGTTACTCTGGAGTTCCAACAACGTGCAGCTTCTCAGAGGGGGTTGTAAATGTTCTCAGCCTGCTGAATAAAGCAATTAATTTAGAATCTAAAAATAGATTGCACCTTTCCCTCCTCGGTCCTTAAATCTTGGACAAAGTAGAGCCAGACAGCTTGGAAAGCTCGTGGAGAAAAAGTGTATGTGCAGAGCCTTTAGATGTGTTCAGGATTAAAAACTCTCAGCTGTAACATGTTCCCAGAGTTGGAGGTGTAACAGAGGCTTTGTCCTTTCTCCAGGGTGGATATCAATAATGATAAAAAGATTGGAGCCAAGGAGATGCAGCGCTGGATCATGGAAAAGACGGATGA